AGACCTGAAAATACTTTTAGCAAAGAGCTGGATACAAAGACATCATATCATACTGGGTACTGCTGTTCTAGGATTCAGGTGAGAAGACTCAGTATTGTTGAATCTCTGTCTCTCGCCTGGGTCTTTCCCCACACATCTCCACTATGTGATTTATATTACAAAGATTATTAATAAAAAGGTTGAAACTGGGCCGCCGCCGCAGGAGCAGCCGCCGGCGGAGCGCGCGCAGCCATGGCCGAGAACCCCGGCTTGGAGAACCACCGCATCAAGAGCTTCAAGAACAAGGGTCCCGATGTGGAGACAATGCGAAGACACAGAAATGAAGTGACAGTTGAACTCCGGAAAAACAAAAGAGATGAACACTTACTGAAAAAGAGAAATGTTCCCCAGGAAGAAAGCTTAGAAGATTCAGATGTCGATGCTAATTTTAAAGCACAAAACGTAACACTAGAAGCTATATTGCAGAATGCTACAACTGATAACCCTGTAGTCCAGTTGAGCGCTGTCCAGGCAGCAAGGAAACTATTATCCAGTGACAGAGATCCACCAATTGATGACCTAATAAAATCTGGGATTTTACCAATTCTAGTCAAATGTCTAGAAAGGGATGATAATCCTTCATTACAGTTTGAAGCTGCTTGGGCACTAACTAATATAGCATCAGGAACCTCTGCACAGACTCAAGCTGTTGTACAGTCTAATGCAGTGCCCCTTTTTCTGCAACTCCTCCATTCCCCACATCAGAATGTCTGTGAACAAGTGGTGTGGGCTTTGGGAAACATTATAGGTGATGGTCCTCAATGTAGAGATTATGTCATATCACTGGGAGTTGTCAAACCTCTTCTGTCCTTCATCAACCCCTTCATTCCCATCACCTTCCTTCAGAACGTCACATGGGTCATTGTCAATCTCTGCAGGAATAAGGACCCCCCACCGCCTATGGAGACAGTTCAGGAGATTTTGCCAGCTTTATGTGTTCTCATATACCACACGGACATAAATATTCTGGTGGACACTGTTTGGGCTTTGTCATACTTGACAGATGAAGGAAATGAGCAGATACAGATGGTTATTGATTCAGGGGTTGTACCATTCCTCGTGCCCCATCTGAGCCACCAGGAAGTGAAAGTTCAAACTGCAGCACTCAGAGCAGTTGGGAACATAGTGACCAGTACTGACGAGCAGACCCAGGTGGTTCTTAACTGCGATGTCCTGCCCCACTTCCCAAACCTCTTATCACACCCGAAAGAGAAAATAAATAAGGAAGCAGTTTGGTTCCTTTCCAATATAAGAGCAGGCAATCAGCAGCAAGTTCAAGCATAATAGATGCTGGATTAATCCCCATGATCATTCACCAGCTTGCTAAGGGGGACTTCGGAACACAAAAGGAAGCTGCTTGGGCAATTAGCAACTTAACGATAAGTGGCAGAAAAGATCAAGTGGAGTACCTTGTACAACAGAATGTAATACCACCATTCTGTAACTTACTGTCGGTGAAAGACTCTCAGGTGGTTCAGGTGGTTCTGGATGGTCTTAAAAACATCCTGATAATGGCTGGTGATGAAGCGAGCACAATCGCTGAAATAATAGAGGAGTGTGGAGGTTTGGAGAAAATTGAAGTTTTGCAGAAACATGAAAATGAAGACATATATAAATTAGCATTTGAAATCATAGATCAATATTTCTCTGGTGATGATATTGATGAAGATCCCAGCCTCATTCCTGAAGCAACACAAGGAGGTACTTACAACTTTGATCCAACAGCCAACCTCCAGACAAAGGAATTTAATTTCTAAGGTCCATTAAGTGCAGCATTGTTCATTCAATACAAACACCACCAGATGGCCACCAAGCGATAAGACAGCAAGCAGCAGAAGGCTCCCAGCACTCTTGCCTCTTTGTTTTGATGCTTCTAAAGCAAGCCATGTCTCAGTCACTTTGCAGTTGCCAAAAGTCACTCTCACATGGACTGTAAATGCATATGCATGATTTCCTGAACTGTTTTAGAACTCTCCTTAACAATCTCAACTACCCTATTTTTCCATGTTCCCTGGTGCCACATGCTGACAACTGCAGTCTCCAGTTAGAATTCTCCATAGTGGTGACGTATCAGCTGCCTGCTGGTACTCCTTTGGAAAAAGGCGCACTGTGGATCAAGACACTTTGGTATGATGTACATTCGTGTTGGAAGACTACAGAGGTGCAGTGTGATCTGAGCCTCCATCATTGTCCTCCACAAACATATTTTCATATTCTTATGTGGAAGAATTAAAGTACAAGCCAAATGGTTTTCATTGGTGGAACTGACACACAAAAGTAATAACTTAAAAACAAGAAACTTGGTTATTGATTAAAAAAGATAAGTTTTTTAAAACTGTACTTCACCTACCATTAATTGATGTGTTTATTATCTGCCTCAGAAGCCAGGGTTGGAGCAAGAGCTTTAGATACCAATGGTAATGCTTTCGCCATTATACCTAATTTTTGAGAACAGCAAACCCTATTTGACCACTCACTCAGCCTGTGTGTTCCTGCTGTTTTGAATAATCAAATGCTGTGCATGGTCTCTACCTGAGCTGCAACCTGTTACAGACTTGAACTTCTGTTAAGTTGAAAGCAAGAGTCCCTGACTACAAAAAAAAAAAAAAAA